TATTACTTTTCAATAAAATAAACTGAATTAAGTTTGAATACAAGTTTATTTTAAGCTTTTATATGAATTTCTTTCAGACATTCGAAGTAATTTATTAAGCAGCCTATTTCTTTTAATTTCTGCAAACTTTTTTTATGCGGTTTTAAGTTAATTTTAACTCGTTGTTTTGGTTTTATGCGATTTTAGAAAATTACGGAACGTATCCCTACTTTTTCAAGGCAAGTAAAGTCTTTTTTTATGCGAATTTTTATATGCGATTTTCTGTAGAACGTATCCACCGCATAAAACAAGACCTTACAGTATATATTTTCTTACATCTTTGTGACTTTTAGTCATGGATTTTTTCTTTCTGCATAATCTTTTTTCGACAAATATTTTATTCTTTTTTCAAGATAGGAAGTTGTTTTTATTTTCTAATGGTTTTAAAGTTAAGTTGTTCAAAAATCCCTTTTCCTTTTGAAGCACTTTCTCATACTAAATATAGAAACACACTATTATAACAAATAGGTTTTATTCATTTTATTTATCACTTACATTTTAAAGTTTCAATTCTTTAAAATAACAATAACAGTTAAATTACATTAACTTATAAGCAGGAGGCCGATTTATTTAGCTGAACCGATTCAGATTTATTAAAGAACTAATTTGTATGTAATAAGGTATTTAAAAAAAAACTTAACAAAAGGAACAAATATAAAAACAATATTAGCTAATGTTAAATTTAACTAATTATATCATCTAAATCGTCATCGTCCTCATTGTCAACAGTTTCTTCCGTAGCACCAGAGTCATTATTTTGTTTTTCAGGAAGCTTATTTTCTAAAAATAATTTACGCCAACTGATTGGTTCTGCTTTCCTTAAATTTATTTCTACTTTACTACTCAGATAGGAAACTTTACTTTTTTCAACATCTATCACCTGTAAAAATTTAAATTCTTATAATAAAACATTTTATAATTTAGCAGTAATTACTAAGTTTAAATGGCTAATAAATTAAATTTCTGAAACTTCCAAGCTACTGTAATTTCTAAACATTTATAAATAAAATTGGGAAAAGTCCCTGAAATAATTTTCATATTTGACTGTCAAACATGAAAATTGACATCTTCCCCCGAAAATAACACCAGTAATAAAAGATTATTGATTTTTATTCTTTGTCATTTGTATTATATTTTAGACGCAATAAAAACTAAATACTTTACATCGAGAAACTCGAGACGATAGCGAGGTTTCGGCCGACGTTTTCAACGCGAAAACGTGTACGTCGGACATTCAGCGCCGCCTTCCTGTAAGCCTAGAAGTTTGACAATGGCGTTTGGAATGTCGAGCGTGATTCCACTGACGTTCCAAACGCCATTGTCAAACTTCTAGGCTTACAGGAAGGCGGCGCTGAATGTCCGACGTACACGTTTTCCCGTTGAAAACGTCGCCGCAACCTCACTGATGTTTATCGATGTAGTTAGCCTGGGCGAGTAGTTTGAGCAATAATATGTCACAAATGAAAGTTATAAGTGATTTATTGTTAAGAAACGAAAAAAATACAATAAAAAGTATAGATAAAAAGCAAAAGTGTAATAAAGAAATTAAATTAAACTAAATAAAATTAAAGTATTTTTTAATTAAATTTCTTATGACTGCTGTTTATATATAAATATTATAAAGTCTCTGTAAATCCGCACGAAAAATATATAAATTTTCGGTTTAGCGGTAGACCATCACACAGCAGATAGCTAATTACTTCTCTTTATTTAATCACTGTATATGCATTTCGGTCCTATTAAAGAACCCTCTTCAGTACTACAAAATATAAATATTATAATAAACCTTATGCGAGTAAAACTACCAATGTAACAATTAATATTTTAGTTTTTCATTACCATTTAGGTACACAGCTTGGATTCACATTTCATTAGCACTTTCATATCAAGTGTATTTAGTAACGTTTTNAGGTAACGTGGCGCCATCTAGTGGGGATGAGGAACGCAAATCTGGTTCCTTTTTCTTTAAACTCGGATAACTTTTACGTAATTCAACCGTAATTCACCAAACTCTGCAAAAATATGAAGTAACTGAATATAAATCCAGACAGTTCTGGATTTATATTCCAGAAAGCAGCACCTAAAAATGTCAAAATACTTTTTTGTTATTAAGCGTCAAAAAGGCGAAAGTCGATACTTTTGAATATATCTTTTCTCAGAGTTAATTATATTTTCCAAAATATAATTTATGCACATACCAGGATTTTACTGGGCATTTTGGCACCAAAATCATCAAAATCTAACGTGGGAATTTTTTTAAAAAATAGGATAAAAAAGTGCAAAAGTTACCCCAGAAGCCTGGGCTTTGCCCAGCAATTATATTATATTTATAAGCTTTTTTTATAAAGTAGATATAAAGTTATTTAGCCTAAATTTTTTAATATAAAAAAAAAACTTACTCCACATAATAGAAGGTGCAAATCAAATACAGATTTTTCTTCCCCAAATACAATATGTATTGATAATTTTACTGGGTTGGCATCAATACAGGATAAATCAGGATCAGGAAGTTTAGAATAAACAGATACTACAACTTGTGATCCAGTTTGATGCCAATCGTATCTACAGCTAACTTGGCTCTCCTAAGGAGAAAAAGATTAGTAAAAATTATCTACTGAAATTTTGTCAGAAATAAATGTCAGAAAACTTAGCAAAAAAATAATATGTTTGTATTTTAGAATAGAATATCCTCTACATGACTTTTGCATAAAATAATACATAAACTAATTATAATAATAAAAACTTATTTTAAAACAACAGTAATTATCTTTAAAAATAATCCTAAGGAAATAACATTAAAATTATACTGTACTATTTTTTCTTAATTTTTATCAATTTTTGCTATTTTTAAATCCAATTTCAATGTATACTTATGTAATAAATTTTCTTGAGGAAAAATCTAGATTGCATCTAGTGATATATCACTGATACAGGTTTGATAAAATTTTAAGCATTATTTAGTGTTTTCTTTTACTTTGCTTTCATTATAATTTACAGTTGAGTCAACTTAACACAACACCAGATAAGGGAACAGTTTGTTCAAGAGAGCATTCTCCAATGTTTCTGATTTTCTTTCCTATGTTAAATTTAAATGTAGCAAAATTCCTGTTAACAGAACACCAGTCCACATACATGAGTTTTATTCTAAGGAAGATTTATAAGGGTCTATTGTTAATCTTACAATATATCATTACCCAGTGCACATGTGAAAGGACTCTCTACACTAAAATATTTGTTGAAGTTTGTCAAAACTTTCCATTTATCAGTTTCTAATAAATAGGTAATAGTTAGTCATAACAGGTTGAATTGGACACACTTATTAAAAAGGTATCACAACATATACATATATATATGTGCATGCAGTGGCTTGCAGTGACATTTGATGATAGGGATAAGCTGTACCAGCCCTGGATAGAATCATTGAAAGCATTATACAATATTTTGGTGTGTAGCATCCACGAACTAAACCACTAGAGGTTAGTGCTGTATAAAACATATGCATGAATGCGTGTAATCTGGCTGCTTTACATAATTCAAATATTTTCGATGTGGAAGCTGTCTCTCATTCAACAATATAAAGCTTCTATTGGGAATATGCATATACAAATTTATATTCGAATATACAATAGCAATCTTATCATTGTTTTTCACATGTATAGAAATTTGTAATGAGATACATAATGTGGTTATAATAAAATATTAATTTTAATTAATTCAAAGTACATTAAAATATGAAAATAATTGCACATGTATTTATATTTTAGAAAATACAAGGGAAGTGGTGGTTCCACAGCTTTCATGGATGGCACACTACTGTATGCATGTATGTATAAACAGAACATATTGCATGTACCAACCAGTACATTCCATCTTAAGGAGACAAGCAAGAAGTGATTAGCAACCAGATTTCAGAGGTCACATGACCTTACTTGGCATTACTGTATTTATTTGTTTTTATATTGTACTGTACATCTCTTTAGAAAGCATTCAGAAATTTTGAATCATGAATGTTCATATTTTTTTTATTAGGCCTCTTAATATATCTCTGGAAATAATTAAAAGTAATACAACTAGTAAATATACTGTAGTTACTGGTTATTTGATAGAACTACAAAATTAATGATATAAGAATGGAAACAATTATGTAAGAACAGTAAATTATGAGATGATGAATTTTACTATTTCCAAGTGTGTTATCAGTTATATAGAGCTCCTAAGACAAAGTGAAAAGAATCAAATGGCATTACCACCTTCTTGGTGATTTGCTCACTTATCCAAAGTAACAAGTCAAGATAAGAAGCATGACTCAGTGATTTAAAGGGTGCTCTTAAGCAACGCAATTGCATTATTACTTAAATTTAATGATATTTTTCAAAATTTTATATTAAATGGTGTATTATATAACATTAATCATTATTCACAATACATTAAGAAAGAATTAGAACTAAACTATTTAATTCATATATAATTCACATTATATATGAATTAAATACAACAATATAAAATATTAATCAGTTGAATGTTTTCTCTATTTTCCATTTAATTCTGTTAGCATGCTATTACTTAAATTCATTTTAAAACATTATAAAACATTCTTTTGCTTGATACATTCTTTCCCATTATTAAAACTATAACTGTTATTTAATAATACAAGATCTGTTCAAAAAGTATCGGACTTTTATTTTTCTGCATAAACCAATGATGCGCGGGAGGCCTCTTTCGATGGAGTTTTGGAGGAGACAGTCATGCACAGCCCTGAATTTTTTCCCGCCTGCAGGAAGCAGTCGGCCTATGAGCGAGAACGTGTAGTGAGCTCTCGTTGGATTCCACTAATAAAGTTGGAAAATGACTGAACAATGTGAGCAGCGATATTACATCAAATTTTGCCAAAAATCTTGGCGATACTCAAGCGTAAACCATTTGCAAGATTCAGCAGGCTTTCAGGGACGATCCTTGACGCCAAAAAAAGCGCGGCAGGTCCACGGCAATATCAAGGTCACGTTGACAGTTTTTTCGACTCTTGTGGGGTGGTGTATTGTGAGTACGCACCACAAGGCCAAACCATCGCAAAGGAGTACTACTGGGAGGTCGTTCGTCGTCTTTCCGATGTGGTGCGACACAAACCACCAGATCTGTGGTTGATCAAAACTTAGCAGCTCCATCGTGATAACGCATCCGCCAATTCTGCGCATCTGATTCGGGCTTTCGTCGCCAAACACAACACTCCTGTGGTTCGTCACGCCCCTTACTCTCCCCACATGGCTCTGTGTGACTTTTGGCTATTTTCCAAGCTGAAAATGCCGCTAAAAGGAACCCGATTTTAGTCGAGAGAACGCATCGTGCGGAATGCGACGGACTGGCTGATGGCCATTCCAAAAGATGCATTCCAGCAGTGTTTCCAGCAATGGCAGGAATGCTGGGAGAAGTGTATACACTACCAAGGAGACTACTTTGAAAGGGATTAGGGTTTTGTACCTCAAAATCAATAAATGTATTTTTGCCGACTAAAGGTCTGATACTTTTTGAACAGCCTTCATATGAATAATGTATTAAATCATGTGTAATTTTTGATCTTGAAATATTTTTAATATATATGATTTAGAAAATATCTCTTTCTTTAATCTCAATATGTAACCAGTTCAAATACCGTTATTTTCTAGGAATTATCACATCTGCAGACTCTGTAATTACTAGTCAATCAACAACTTTATTTTACTCAGATGCATTTTGGAAATTACAATAACAATATTTCCCTCCTCAGTGGGTTTTCTTCCATACAAACTAAACAAGGCACAAACACTTTTTCTACTCTCTCCAATTTTTCAATATTTCAAGCATTTTGACTACTTTAAAATAAAAAAGTAGTCAAAATGCTTAAAATATTGAAAAATTGGAGAGAGTAGAAAAAGTGTTTGTGCCTTGTTTAGTTTGTATGGAAGAAAACCCACTGAGGAGGGAAATATTGTTATTGTAATTTCCAAAATGCATCTGAGTAAAATAAAGTTGTTGATTGACTAGTAATTACAGAGTCTGCAGATGTGATAATTCCTAGAAAATAACAGTGTTTGAACCAGTTACATATTGAAATATAATTTATTTTTGTTAGAATAGTGTAGGTGATATGTTTAAGTATTTTGTAAATCAAAATATTTGCTCTAAAATTTTCATGAATCTGTTCTAAAATACTATTGAAAAACACTTCAATAAAAGCAATACAAAGCACATCATAATTATATGACAAATTCATCAACATGCAGATCTTATACTAAATATATTTTACCGAACTGTATATGCATTATTTTACAGAATTACTTAAATGTACTCTCTAAACCCATTTTTTACCATATGCTTTCTGAAAATCAATTACTGCACATATAAATTAATATTATGAAAAAATTTCATGATTAAATAGTTTATAAAAAGCAAATAACCCTACATAAAAAAGAAAAAAAATGCTTAATGTATGTATTACAGTCCTTGATGTATTAAAGGAATGCACAACCAATTATTTTGATCAAATAATAAAAGGGAAAAAATAAACCCTCTAATTCTAAACTGATTAACAGAAGCATTCATACTCTATATTTTATCTATTTGCAGTAAAAATAAAGTATCTAAACTTAATAAAAATTTTTATTGTTATAAATGCTCATATTAACAAATAAAAACACAAAAATTTTTATAAGGCACCAAATACTAAACAATTAAAAAATGTATAATTTTAAGATTTCAGTATAATTATAATTACTATTAATTAATAGTAATTCATCTAGTATAAGCAGCTAAATTTTGTAATTTTTCAAAATATTCCTACTATATTCAACATGACTGCCTACCAAAAATAGCAAGTTTCTGGTTGTTCCAATTTTCAGGTCCCCTTTTTTGAAAGTTATGGTTTGACAGCTGCTTTATGATTTTATACCCACAATATGTATTTACTAGTGTTGCAACGAATAGTATATTCGGCCTCAGGCCGAATACCGAATATTCGGCCAGGAGTGTAGCCAAATAGCCAAATATTCGGCTTGATTAATGCACGTACAAAAATTGGTGCGCAAACTACATTAAGGCAAGGATCCTGCTCTCTATTGGCCCACTATGCTTCGCCAATCGCATTAATTCTTGACAGTTCAGACAAGAGCATCATGGCAGTATGTGATAAGTGATGATATCAAATGTGGATAACAATGAAATGACCTACACGTGTAAATAACGGAAGAAGAACAGAGAAGGACCGCAAAGTGAAAATAAATATGAAATTGAGTTGATAACCTAATCGAACAGGTCGATTATGTTATCAACTCAATAAGCTGCCTCGAACAAGTCAAGGCAGCTTACTAATGCAAAATTCACGACCGTGAATGCGAAACAATTGTTGTCATAGACTTCGGAAAGGTAAATGCTTATAATGAAAGTCGCTTAGTGTACATGGGCGAAAGCCTGGGGTCGTTCAGGCTACCAAGCTGTTTTGAATCTGTGAAATCATAACTGTGACTTATACTGACATCCTATCTGTCTCTTTTCTCCGTTATCACCAGGCTATGAGTCATGTAATTGTAAAATGGGAAATCTACGACGGAAAAGTGATGAATCTAAAGTATCGTGAGGGTGTATGTGTATTATGATGTATGCATAGGAATATGTGGACTAGAGTGATAGAGGAAAGAGAAAGGTAAGAGCAAAGACAAGTGCTTAAAAAGAAGGATAGGCAGGGTCAGACCCTCAGATGTGCGACGATTCTCGAACGATTTAGGTGTGTATGTGTGCTGATCTTTGTAATTATAAATTGTGAATACATGTGACTATTATTATTTTCTTTTTTATTTTGTGAATGTTATAAGTTATAAATAAATATAAACAAACAACGCTAACCCGATAACATTAAATCTAAATACCAAAATGATTAATTTACTGTGTTTTTGTTATTTCTTACTCCTGTTTTTANGGACTCTCACATCCCTACTTTTGACACGGTCTCAACCAGAGAGGCCGCCATCAGCATTGTAAATAACACCATCAACTCTATTGACAAGGCATGCAGTCACGCAATCCCTCTTTGTAGGCCTAATGCCTCAGGAGTCCCTTGGTGGAACGATAACCTGGCTGATATAAGGGAAAGAATTAATCAAAATTATTACCTTTTTACAAATTCCAGCAAATAATATTAAATTATTTGCTAGAATTTGTAAAAAGGTGATAATTTTGATTAGTATTTACATTTATTACTACTACTATATTTTTAAACATATTTGTTCATTTTTTACATAGTCTTCTTGTTTGAATAATTTTGTTATTGCTTATTAAATAATAAAGATAAACTGACACATTTACATGGTACACAGTCTTCAAGAAAAAATTAAAAACTTTTATACTGAAATTTTGCTATAATTCTCAAAATCCAATTCCAAACTAAATGATTTTTCACTTCTTTTTAAAGAATACTGTAAAATAAAGTCTATTAAACATAATCTAACACATATACACATTCACATTCAAAATTAAAAGTATATAAGACTTAAGTTTTCTGTCATCATATTTATAATTTGAAATATCACCTATTAAAATAGTTTACTATCTTTTAAACTTGATTTTGATTAATTTTGAAAACAGCCTTTTAATTAATGCATTATATCTAGATTTAGAAAATTAATTAATGTTTTGAAAACTATATTCAAGTTAAATTCTTTGCTGTTACTCTAGAATTTATTTTAATAGGATATTAACCTTACATAATTTCAAAATTTCATATGTAAGAAATGTAACAAGCTTATTTTCTGTAAAATATTTCATTAAAATAATGTTTTAAATATAGGTCAGTTAAAAAACAGCATTCTCACTGTTTTTTTCTCGATAAAAGTAAGATTTATAATCAGTCGAAGTGTTTCAATAACAATGAAAGAACAATAATGTAATTTTAAATAAGTATTTTTAATATTTTATTAAATCCTTACATATTTTACCTTTTTCTTAATCCAAGTATGGCTACCTGTAGTACAGCCTTCTTGTTCTAAAAATGTTTCAAAATCGGTTGTCTTTCTCGTACAGCATGACCAGTACTTCAAACTAAGAATTGGCAATTTTTTCAGTTGTATTTTATTAAAACATTTTATTGTAAGTTCAAGTTAAATAAAATTGTGTAAATTTTAATTAAGCATATAAATGAATAACTTACCCTTCATGAAATATAGGAACTCCAGGATGATAGTTACACACTGTAGCATTACTCATTTCTCCCTCATAACTCTATAATTTTAAAAAATCAACATTCAAAATTAAAACTTATATATATTATATATANATCACGCCTTACTTGGAAGATTATCCGTACATGCTGAGTGACCCTGTGGACCTAACAGATTATATATATATCTTATTTTAATATATTAATAGAAGAGAATTATATTTTGAAAATATTATCTGGTTTGTTACTGAAACAAATTAAATTTGTTTTTTCTTAGTTGGACTGTATTAAATGGGATGTCTTAAAATGATATACAATGGTACCTCAGGATACAAACAGCCCAGCATACTAAATTTTCAGGATACAACATGAAATTTGAACATAATTTTGCTCCACGGTATGCTCAGTTTAATGACATTTGCCTAAGTCATTTTAGAAACATTTTAAAAAGTTGGCAAAGCCAAACCTCTTTGGATAAATATTTTACCAAGCAACCTCTATCCAGTGAAAGTGCTGGTGGAAGTGAAGGAAAGAAAGAAAGCAAAAAGCAGTGAATAAAAAATTTTAAAAAATATATAAAACAGAAAAGTTAAAAAATTAGTCTTAAGTTATTTTTAAGTTATTGTTACATTATGTTATGTAAGTTAAGTTTTAGTATCATTTCCCTTCTCCCTCCCCTCTGGCACCAGTTTACACCTCCACTGATGTCTATCCTGAAAGGTAAAGTGTAAATAAAACTACATGTTTTTTTTTTTTTTTTATCAATTATTATTCTATTATGGTTATTTACACATTTACAACTACAAAACGCATTTTTCAGTGTTTTCCTTACTAATAAAAACTCTTTCTAACCTGTTACCAATGCGTTCTCCTTCTTCTACTAAATCGTAACAAACCAAAATAGCTTTTTAATGAACAAAAATAGCTTTTTACTAACGTTTTCGAACCCTAACGACAGTTCTTCTTCTTCAGGTATATCTTTGAATCTCTGATGGAAATGCCCGTAAAACTTCAAATTCAAAAATATGTATGTTTGAATGCACGTTTCCCGTTTACGTCATTGTCTGTCATGTGCAGTCGATTCCAATACGGCTATCATAAATTACTGTTCATAAGTGCTAGCCACACTACTGATAGCATAATCTCTTCTTTATAATTGATGCATTGATTATCCTTAAGGTTAGCTAAGTATATGCTGGCCGCCTCCAGCCACTTGATATGGTGTATGTGTTACTGTGAAAGACCGAAATTAGAGAATTTCGATATTCTCCGGTGAATGTCAACACATACAATATACTAGGCATAAAAGGCATGAGGAAAATAGGCAGGGGCGGCATGGCCATTGATGTTACAACAAAACAAGACATTGAAAAACTGAGAAAGGTTTTACAGGAGAAAGCTCCTGATTTAAAGACCCAAGTGCCTTCCAGGAAGAACCCTAGGATAAGGATTGGTTATGTCCCAAGGCATCTCTCTAGGGATGAATTAATAGATGCAATACTTAACCAGAATGAGGCAGTCAACGCTAATCTCAGCGAGGAGGACTTCCGCAGAGAATTCTCAGTAAAGATCCCAATTAAAGGACGGGACCCAAATACTATGGCTTGGTTGGTTGATGTCTCACCCAGGGTGAGGAACCTACTATTGGGCCTAAAGCGAATCAACATTGAGTGGGTACGCTGCCCAGTTGTGGACCACTTTTTGATCATTCAATGTTATAAATGTTGCGGGTATGGTCATATCAGCAGCCAATGTAAGCAAGAAAACGCAACCTGTAGCCAATGCAGTGAACATCATCATTTCAAAGAATGTACTAAAAAAGACAGTGATGCCACCTGCACCAACTGTAAGCAAAATAAGAATGGAAACTGCACACACAATGCCTTTGACAAAGAATGCCTTGTTTACAGAAGAATGAAGACACAACTTATTTTGAGAACTAATTACGGGGAGTGATCCAGGAAAAATTCGTGTTCTGCAAACAAACCTCCAGGGGTCCATCAATGCCACTTCTAATCTCAGCACTGTTATGAACAACTATGACCTGGTCCTGGTTCAAGAGCCATATTGCGTGAATAACAGGGTTGCTTGCATCCCTCACTCACACCTTATTATTCAGTCCAATGGCTCCTACCCTTGGGCTGCCATTATTATTCCCAAAAATAATCTCCATGTTCTTTTTCATCAGCATGTCAGTAATGACAAAATGGTCTGGATAGAGACTAGGCATGGGAATCATCCAATCATATTTGGGAGCTTCTATTGTCAAAAAGGCAACTTCTACAATTCAATTGTTAATAACCTGGATGAATCATTCAAGAAATTCGATCATGCTGAAATCATAATGGGTGGCGATTCCAATGCCCATTCTCCCATGTGGGGAGGGGATCGGTTGGATGGCGAAGGCAAGGCCTTCGAAGACCTCTTGGCCTCCAACGGCATGTTGTGTATTAATGATCCCAACTCTCCTCCTACCTTCGAGGGGCCCAATGGCAGCTCCTGGATCGACATTACAATCGCCAGCATAAGGAGTTCTAATTGGGTTCATAACTGGCATGTCACTGACGACGACAGCTTAGCAGACCACAATGCTATTGAGTTCACTGTTGGCCTTGGGGCAGAAAAAGTCAGCAGAAATTTCATCAGGTGTTACAATGCCAGGAAAGCTAACTGGGACAAATTCTTTAATTACTTGGACTCTCACATCCCTACTTTTGACACGGTCTCAACCAGAGAGGCCGCCATCAGCATTGTAAATAACACCATCAACTCTATTGACAAGGCATGCAGTCACGCAATCCCTCTTTGTAGGCCTAATGCCTCAGGAGTCCCTTGGTGGAACGATAACCTGGCTGATATAAGGGTGAAAAATAATAAATTACGTAAGCTATTTCAAAGAAGCAGGGGCTCTGAGAGAGATATTTTCAAACAAAGTTACCTGGAATTTCAAGTGACCTACAAGAAGGCAATAAGGGATGCCAAGACCTCTTCGTGGAGGGACTTCTGTTCTTCGGCCTCAATTAATCCTTGGGGTTTCGTGTACCGTTTGTGTGCCAACAAGCTTAAACACCAGTCATGCCTCTCTACTCTCAACACTGGGGATGGTTGCACTTACAACTTTGAGGGCACCGTCAATGCCATTCTGGATTCTGTGTGTTTGGACGATAATCCAACAGAAGATTCAGACTTCCACAGCAATATTAGGAACTCTTCTCACCACTCCATTGACACAGAGGATTCCCCTCCCTTTACTCAGGCTGAAATTGACTGGGCTATCAATAAACTCTCTCTCTATAAAGCCCCTGGTCTGGATGGGCTAACTGCAGGTATCGTGAAGAACATTTGGACTAACCGTCCCAACATCATCTCCCACCTTATGAACATCTGCCTTCATTTCGGTATTTTCCCAGATCCTTGGAAGGAAGCTAGAATGGGCTGATTCCCAACTTTTGGAAATCAGCCCATTTGCACTCCCAATGATTATCGCTGCATTTCTCTTCTTCCTGTTCTTTCCAAAGTCTATGACCGTCTCTTGAGCAATAGGCTTAATTGGCACCTTGAGGCCAATAACTTTCTTAGCCCCCAACAGTTTGGTTTTAGGCAAGGCCAGGGCACCACTGATGCTATCCTTGCCATGACTGACAAGGTTAAACTTCTTCTTCAGTCTTACCCTTATGTCTTGGGGCTTAGTTTGGATATTAGCAGCGCCTTCAATGCCGCTTGGTGGCCTCTCATTCTCTTGAGGCTGCGGCAGGCTCGCTGTCCTGCTAATATTTACCATGCTTTCTCAGACTACCTGAATAATAGGTATGTTACTTTTATTTCAGGTAACACTGAAATCAGGAGAAAGACTTCTAGAGGCTGCCCACAGGGTTCCATTTCTGGCCCTGTGTTCTGGAATCTGCTCTTTAATAACTTCCTTTCTGACATCCAGGACTGTGATGGTATTTTTGCATATGCGGATGATGCTCTGATCCTTCTGGCAGCCTTTTCTCGCTCTAAATTGGAGTGCAAGGCCAAAAAAGTGATGGACAACATTACTGAGTGGGGCAAGAAGTATAAATTAGAGTTTAATGCCAACAAAACCAAGGGCATAGTTTTTACGAATCCCGGTAAACCTCATCTTTACCAGAGGCCACCCACTATAAAAATGGATGGGGTTTCTATCAAAATCACTACCACTATCAAGTATCTAGGGGTCATCATCGACCACAAGCTAAACTGGGCTGACCATATTGCCTATATAACCGACAGGACTAACCATCTATTCAACACTGTCTCCAAGGTGGCAAAGTCGAAGTGGGGGCTTTCCCCAGCTATTCTTTCTACAATCTATGACAGTGTCTTTCTACCAATGATCTGCTATGCCGCCCCAGTGTGGGCTGGCTGTTTAGGCCGTGTGCACATTGAACGGAAACTCCGTAGTGCACAACGCAGAGCTCTTCTTCGTATCTGCCGTGCCTTTTCTACTTCCTCCACGGCTGCCTTACAGGTCATCTCTGGTAAAATGCCTATTGACCTTGCTATTTCATTGGCTTCCAAAGGTTGGCACCTTCGCAAGGGTCACAGTATCTGTCTGGCCAACCAATCATCATTTACCTCTTATGAGACTAATTGCCACCTGTCAGATCTACTTCCTCCCTTTCTTCGACCCCAAATCAAAAACCAGCCTCTTGACCATGAAGATTTAACCATCTATACTGACGGCTCTAAGTCTGAGGAGAATGTTGGTAGTGCGTTTGTGGTGTATCAGGATGGTGTGGAATGCTACTGTGGGACTGGTCATCTTGCCTCAAACTGCTCGGCGTATCAGGCAGAGCTCACCGCCATCTTGATGGCTATTGAGTGGTGCAACAACTACAAAAGCAACAACAGGATCAACATCTTTACAGACTGCAGATCTACAATTGATGCCATCAATTATCATCTGCCTAAGAACCCCCTTGTCATCAAGATTCAAGCAAGCATTGCCGCCTCTAATAACATTTTTGCCATCTCTTGGATTAGAGGTTATGCGGGACTGCTTGGCAATGAGAGGGCTGACTTCCTTGCCGGGGAAGCC